AGGCCCCCGGGAGAAGGGATGGCAAAAACAGATGGAGGAGATGGCCCTGTGGCCTCTCCCAAGAGGGCTCCTCGCTCCCCGGCCTTATCTTGCACAGGGGACACCTGCTCCTTATCCTCCCCTCCCAGAACACCAGGGAAGATGCCCTTCCAGGCCCCTGGTAAGTACTTCCCCACCGTCTACTGTCCCCCTCGGCCCCCTAACACCTCCTAAGATTCCTGACCCGGGTGGACAGTGGCAGCTTGGACAGAACAACACAAGGAAGAGAGGGACCCGCCTGTCCCACTCACCCTTGCCTCAGTGACCCCAGCTGCGTCACACTAGCTCCTCCATGCCCTCTGCCCACGCCCACCGGGGACACCGGCCATGGAGCGAGGCTGGAGCAGAAATGACCTGCAGCCCTCAGATCCAGGCAGCTCGCCAGAGGGGAAGAGAAGCCCTCCCACCTGCCCTGCTGGCCGCGGCAAAGAGGAAAATTGCAGTTTTCTCTGGCAACATTCAAAGGAGCCGCTGTGGGAAGAGCCCTGTGGCGAGGCGGGCGGGCTGCCTGGGGAGCAGCAGGGGCCCTCTGCAGACAGGCCTGGCAGGGTGCCCGCCTGCTGCAGGCCCGGAGCCTGGGGAGGACCCTGCGTGTCCTACCCGGGTTGATGGCTGCCTGGCATCTCCTGCCACACACCGAAGGAAACATTGAAAAGGGACCAGAAGCCCGTCACTGTCACAGAATCAGAGAGAAGGTGCCACAAGCCCAAGAGAACATCTCAGCTCCACCTGGCCAGAGGTCAGAGTGGCTGCGGCCCCCACCCTCTGGGGCCAGCTCTGACCGCTGGGCCTCTGCTGGGCCGGGTTTCCTCCAGCTCCAGGACCCTGGGGTGGGCTGGTCTCCACTGCCCAGAACAGCCGGGACTTCGTGCCCACCTGGACCAGCTAGAGCCCTAGCAGTGCCCACAGCAGCTCCTCCCCCTGTGAAGGGCAGAGGGGCCTCAGGATCTGGAGGAGGATAAAGCCTGGGGCTGGGCCTCTGAGGCCAGCCATCTCCCCAGCCTTCCTGACCCCGTGCCTTGCTGCCCAAGGCTCCTCCTGTCCTCTTGTCACTCTCTGCTTCTTGGCTACCCAACTGTCCCCCCAGGACCCTTCCTGAATGTTCCCCAGGTGGACAGCTCCCAGGGCCAGGCCCTGACAAGCCTGTATCCTGCTGGTCTGAAACATTCAATCTGGTACCATTTTTCCCAGCTGTTTCCCAAACACACCTTTTAACTTCTGAAAGATGCTTTGAAAACTCCCCCCCCCTTATTTATTCCGCAAACACCTACCCATCGGTCAACCCCGTGTTCAGCTATTTCCTCGGGAGGCTTTCTGGCTCCCCACACACCCCGAACAGAGCCCACTTCGCCTCTTCCACGCCCACTGTGGCCTCAGCTCTGCCCCTCACACCGTCCTGTGCCCCTCACACCTGCCTCCCTGCCAACAGAGGCCCCTCCGGGACCTCGGGCAGCTCTTGGCTGTCTTATCGTCTCCAAAGGGTGTGGGCGTTACACGGACCTAACACCAAGTGTGGGGCTGGGCGGGCCTGGGAACCTGGGCTCCCGTGTCATCGTGGCCATGCACTCCCGAGCCCCCCAGGCCAGGACTGAGGCGGGCTGTAAGGGGCTGGATGCTCAATGAGCCCACCAGGCATCCAAATAAAGCTCAGGTGCAAAACCTGCAGCACCTGGCCACTCTGTTGTCTACAGACACCTCCCAGGAAGGACAACGGCCTGCGGAGTCAGACTGGAGGAACCCGAGGCAGCAAGCCACTGAGGACCCTGTGAGGATCAGCCTGGCTCCACTGATGACTGACAGCGCCCTGATTTCTGTCTCCACTCCCAACCACGCACCAACCAGAGAACCCACGGGCCCCCCACAGGCCTTCAGGATGGCCCACTCCCGGGGAGCCGCTGGCCTCCCCCACACCCGCAGCCACCACTCAGACCCGCAGCCTTCCCCCTCCTCTGCCCGCCTTCGTGTCTCTGCCAAGTGCAGGTGAGAGGGGCCGAGCCCAGGGCAGAACAAGAGGCCTCTGCGCTTCCCACTCGGGGGTCTCGGTTCACCTCCATAGCCGTTGTCTCGTATCCTCATGGCCTGGCAGGCCCAGGACCACTCACTCTAAAGAGCTGAGTGACCAGCAAGGAAGTGGGGAGACAGGAGGAGACAGCAGAGCCTCAGCTGCACCCCGGGGCCACTCCGCACAGGGCCCACCTGCCCTTCCAGCCACCTGTCTGGGCCCGGGGCCTCCTTGGTCTTGCTTCTTCCTTCCCTACGGTGGGTCCATCCAGGGGAAGGAATCACTTAACAGTGACCCAATCCTGGGGGGTGGGGTGGACATGAACCCCACAGAGGAGAGTCCCCAGTGAAGCCCTGGGAGCAGGCAGATGATTGTCTCCTGTGGGCTGGCGTGGCCTCCCAGGGCCTCCTCTTTACACATAAAAGAAGAGGGTTTTTCTGATCAAAGAGAAACCACAATGAAGACTCCGGCCAGAGCCATCTCGCTTAGAGCAAGTAAGGCCCAGGCTGCATCCCGCCACCCACACGTGGAATCCAATCGGCAGGTGCTCTGGCCGCCCTTCCTATCCCGGTGATGTGGGGGCGTCAGGAGGATGGAGCCAGGACCCTCCAACAGACTGGACGGCAAGGGGGTCAGGAGACACGTCTCCACAGCGGGTTCCGAGAGGTGTTCCCAAGGCCCTGCCGACCAGGCTGCTGGCCAGGCCCACTGATCCCAGGGGCCACCACCACCCGCCCAGCCACGTCACTCTTAAGGATCCATCCTCTTCCCGCAGTGGCCTCCCGCACTCCGTCCCCACCCGCATCCCAGGCCCCAGAGTCTGTCCTGCCAACCTGGGCTCCTTCGGGGTGACACCCTGGCGTACTGGCCTTTGTTTCCCTGCTGTAGACCCAGGTGTGGCCGGTGGCAGGTGCTCGAGGGACGGGTGATGGAAGAAAGCACGGAGGCCCTCTCGTCCTGCCCAAAGGAAGCTCCCGCCTGGCTGAGCTCTTCCTGGCCCCAAGCACTCCCACCGTCCATTTTCAACCCTCTGTTCTCCTCTGGAGGGCAAAGGTCCAGCCCTGCCTTGGCAGATACAGCACCAGAGGACACTCGAGCTGACCCAGGTGGCCCAGAAAGACAGCTCTGGCCGACAAGGTGAGCAACTGCTCCGAGGCCCTGGACAGGCCCTTCCTCCCTGACTCCTTTCTCCATCCATGAAGTGCGACGAGAGAGGCCACGCTGATACAGTACAGGAAATCTTTCAACTGGTGGCCTGTGGGATAAATCTGACTTGCAAATATGTTTTATTGGATTTCATTTTATGCAAAACTTAGGAAAATTCACATAAAATCCTCATTTCCTGCTTCATTAAATAAGCAGAAGTGTGGGCAATGCCAGCCCCTTTCCTCTCATGACGCCCCTGGCTGATGCTGAACAGAGCATGGACTAGTTTGCCATAGTCCCCACCATTCTTTGTTGCCACATGCCCAATCCAAGTCACTCAGTAAATGCTAACCTCTTAGGTATTTGTGTTTATAACCCTTAATTGTGACTGACAGCACTTTAGATTGGCTGGTGCAGGTACTAATGAATGTACTAGTGAATGCCTCGGCCCAGGCCCCCACAGATATTCTGATTCACCTGATCGAGAAAACAGTGTGCCAGGTGTGGTGGCTCACACCTATAATCCCAGTGGCTCAGGAGGCTGAGGCAGGAGGATAAAAAGTTTGAGGCCAGCCTCAGCAACTAAGCCAGACCCTGTCTCAAAATATAAAATAAAAAGGGCTGGGGATGTGGCTCAGTGATAAAGCGAACCTGGGTTCAATCCTCAGTACCAAAAAAGAGAGGGAAAATAGATGACAGTATTAACAGAAAAGCTCCTCCTGTGATTCTAATCCCACCAGGAATGTGAACTACCGTTTTGGGGAGCTGGCTGGCTCTGCAGCCCCATCTCTCCTTTGTAAGGCATCAGCTACAGGAAGAGAAAGGAGGGAGCCAGGCCAGGCGACAGCACCTGTGGGCGTCTCTGGGCAGCGAGCCTTGCCAGGGCCCGCCCCGCCCGGGTCACAGGTGCTGTAGCAATGAGCTCTGGGAGCGTCCCTCGGAAGTGAGGACCCAGGCGAAGCCCTCCTCCTGGCCCCTCTGTGTGCACCTGGCCCGTGGCCTCTCCAGGTCCTGCCTGGCTCCTGCTGGAGTCCCTGCATAAGCCCCTCCCCTGGCTGAGCCATGTCTGCCGGTCCGTGCCTCCCTCTCCCTTCTGGGCTCTGCCCCGGGCCCACGCCTCCCCAAGAAGCTGGCCCGGCTCGCCTGGCTGAGACCTGCTTGCTCCAGCGGTTGAGGCAGCACCGGCATTCTGTGGTACTCATTTCTCTCAACAGGTCTCAGACCCTCTCCGTACCCCTCAATGGGGAACTCCAGGACCACCTCTGGCACTTCTCCCGCCCAACAGTTCACAGCACACAAGCACCCAGGCTGCGGCTCCACTCCACAGGTGACAGAGGATGGAGGGACTGTCGTCTAGAGACGGGAGGAGGGCCACAGGAGCTGGTGCTCACTGCTCATCCACCCAGAGGAGCCGTTTCAAAAGAAATCCCAATGCCCGTCCTGCCAAGCTCCCGCCAGGGGCCCTGGCTGACTGTTCTGCGTGTTCAGAGGAAATGCTCAGAGACATGTGCCAGCTGGCCTGGCCCTCGTCACTCCTGAACCCAGGAAGCAGCTCAGGAGAGCAAGGAGCTTGTTCGAGGATTCACGCTTCCTGTGCCTCAGAGCAAATGTCCCGTGGGCCTGCTCAGAACAGCAGACCTGGCCAGCAAGACACAGAAGCCGCCCTGGAGATTTCTAGGCTGCAGGGAGGACCCAGAAAGGACTTCGTGGGTGATTCATGCCTGGGGACTGGCTCTGGAGGCATCACTCACACAGGGTCAGTCTAAAGGAAGATGGCTGGCCACGCCCTCCTGCTGGGCTGACTGCGGCCTACCTCGGAGCTGACTGAACGTGGTCATGAACTTGCTGGTGAGGGACTTGAGCTCGTTGTCAGCCAGGGTGATGAGGTGGATCTGGTCGGAGACATTCCGCAGGACCTTGTAGATGCCGATGGGGAAGGAAACCAGCTTGCACTCGGCCAGGTCTGCAGCCAGAGGAGAGAGACGACAGTCACCCACCTGGCTGCCCAGGAACGTGCCCCAGACCCACACGGACCCCAAGCCCATCTTCCTGCCCAGCCTCCGCACCTCCGGCCTGTCTCTCCAGGGATGGGCTCCAGACCCCGCCCTCCCTCTCCAGGAGTCCCCTCATCAGCATTAACTCACACCTGTCCCTCCTTCGCAGACTGAACCTCAGGATTTAGCTGCGCACCTCCTCTACCACACAGCCTACTAGCTGCAACACACCCAAGGCCGGACCTGCTGGCACAACGATAATCGGCATTCATAGCCGCGTCCTTCAAACCCTGAAGGACCGAGTTCCTTTGGAATCATCAGACTCAGCAGCGTCTTTAGACCACTTCAGCCAGCTGTTTGACAACATGAAATGCACACAGGCTCCGCGGCCTGACCTTCCAGTCCCATCCCGCTGCATTCAAGTCTCGGGTAAGTCGCAAGAGGGAAGCTGCCCCCCAGGACAGCCCGGCAGCTCCCTGGTGTTAAACACGCTCCTACATATCAAGAGAAACAAGGACACATGGCCACGCCACACTACACACAGGTGCTCACACCAGCACCATGCACAGGAGCCTAGAAGTGAAAATGACCCAAGGACCATCAACTGCAGAACAGACCAACAAAACGGGATCGAGCCTCGTTAAGGAATATTATTCAGCAACGAAGACATGAAGCACCAGGCACGCTGTAATGGGACCAGACCACGGGAAACACGCCATGCCCCAGAAGTCCATCACAAAGCCCATATGCTATATGCTTCCATTCACACTGGATGTCCAGAGCAGGCAAATCTGTGGACAGAAAGTAGGTTAGGGGGCTGGGGCTGGGGCTCAGTGGTGGAGCACTTGCCTAGCATGTGTGAGGCGCTGGGTTCCATCCTAAGGACCACATAAAAAATAAAGTTACTGTGTCCATCTACAACTAAAAATATTTTTAAAAATTGGTACCCTTTAAAGGCAGGAATTACATAGTACATGAATTACATCTCAATAAAGCCAATAAATATATTATATATATATACACACATATATATGCATACATACATATAGCAGTAGGGGGGGCCCCAACAGCATAGAGGTTTACAAATTAGGCTGTCCAGTTCCTACAAGTCACTTCAATTCCCTGAGCCTCAGTTTCCTCATCTGTAAAATGGGGATATCATCATCTGCCTGGCAAGGCCACTGGGAAGAGTAAATGCAATCAAATGATAAAGTGCCTAGCAGGTACATCGCCATGTCGTCCCTCTCCTCCCAGCCCTCCCCCTTTATCCAAATCCTCTCTATGCTTCCAGGCCAGCTCTCGCCCCACCTCTTTCAGAAGCCCTCCAGGGCACCCATGTTGCTCCCTAGCCCTAGGCCCCAGACCCCTCACCCACTGACGGCACTGTCCCTCTCACTCGACAATTCTTGACTTTCCCCCCAAAGATGCCAGACTCTCTCAGGCCTCTGGGCCTTTGCAGATTATTCCAAAGCAAATATGCAAAATTCGGTAATATTCCCATTGCTAGCAATGAAATACAATTTTAAAGGTCCTACTTCTAATAGCCACAATAAATAAGTATGTGGAAATCCCAGTTGAAGCCCTCACCCTCCTGCCCCAGGAACTTCTCCTCTGGCTCCAAGTCCCTGTTCAAGGTCAGCTCCTCCGGGAGCCTTCTCTGCCCCCTCAGCACTGCTCCAGCCCCTGAGCCTCAATGCAAACGAGACCCCCTCACCGTGCAGGGGCACTAAACTTGATAGTTTTTTTTTAAAAAAAATATATTATTTTTCAGTGTTCGGTGGACAAAACATCTTTATTTTTTTTTTATGTGGTGCTGAGGATCAAACCCAGTGTCCCCCACATGCCAGGCGAGCGCACTACTGCTTGAGCCACATCCCCAGCCCCTAAACTTGATCTTGCATCTGTTTTCCCCCTGGTCTGGGAGGACGCCAGTGCGCGGTGCCAGAAGCCCCGCAGGTTGGAGCAGAGCAGGGGCGCTAGTGACCTGGCTGACACAGTGTGAGAGGGAAAGAGGACAGCTGGCACAGCTGGGAAAGGGCGACAGTTCAGATGGCCGAGGATTCCCAGCCTCCCCTTCTGGACAACACGTTGAGAAGCCTCCGCGGGTCCAGGGCACCTCAGCCCGCAGCTGTCCAGCGCCAGGCACCGGCTCTTATGTCGGGAAGTGGGGCGGGCAGAAAAGAGCACCACGTCCTTCCAGGGAAGGGCACGTCTCCAAAGGTCAGACTTCAGAAGAGGGATCAGGGCCGGCTGGCAGCAGACGGGCACCACAGGCCCAGAGTTTGGGGCAGGCTGGGGATTCTAGAGAGGGACACTCTCAAACAATAAACCCGCTTGCGCTTGGTGTCAGGCGTACAAAGGGCCAGAAAGGAGTTTTTATTGTGCTTTTGGGTGGGAGCAGCGGGTGTCATCACACTCACCAGAAGCAACACAAGGGAAGGCAGAAGCTTCCCTATAAAAATAAGGAGGCCGTCCACCACCAGTATCCCTGAAGACGGCCTCGAACATTCTGGCCAATGAGCAGAAGGCACAGACACGAGAGCAGACAAGATGGTCACGATGTGCCCATGAAGTGACCGCAGGACCGTATCAGAAGTGCAAAGCCGTCACTTGAAAAACTACCTGAACTAAAGAGAGCCCAGCAAAGCTGCCAATCAAAATAGACAGGAAAGACAATGATACTCCTATACGTTGGCAATAAAGTCTTAAAAGATCCAATTTCAGACAACAACTGCATAAAGTACAGAGAGACGATCATCGTGGGAAATACAACCAACCAATATGAAGAAAAAGAGAAAAAGCCACGAAGATACTTTTAAAAATGCATTTGTACACCAGACACAGCACACCCGTGTAATCCCAGCAGCTCAGGGGCTGAGGCAGGAGGATTGCAAGTTCAAAGCCAGCCTCAGCAACTCAGCGAGGCTCTAAGCAACTTCACAAGAAAGACCCTGTCTCAAAATGTAAAGGAAAAAATGTTAAAGGAAGCCTCACAAATAACTTGGGGAAGGTAAGGATTCATTAAACTATGTCAGAATAACCACTTAACAGTTTTTGAAGAACAAAAAAATAAGAGAGAGAAACTCAGTCTAACAATCAAAAGAAATCCTAGGTAGAGCTCAGTGGTAGAGCGCTCACCTAGTGTGTATAAGGCCCTGGGTTCGATTCTCAGCACCACATATAAATAAATTAATTAAATAAAGGTCCATTGACAACTAAAAAGTATTAAAGAAAAGAAAGAAAGAAAGAAAGAAAGAAAGAAAGAAAGAAAGAAAGCCTACGTAGAGTTACACTGTGAAGTATTTTTAAAAATCCAACCAAAAATAATCAAAAGTGGGCTGGGGCTGTGGCTCAGTGGCAGAGCTCTTGCCTAGCATGTGTGAAGCTCTGGGTTCAATCCTTAGCACCACATATCAATAAATAAAACAAAGGTCCAATGATAACTAAAAAATATATTTTTTAAATAATCAGAAGTACATAGACTCAAATATGTGACAATGACTTTCCAAACTCAGGAGCCATAAAAAAAACTGCAAAGAAACTAAGTAAGAAATAAACTGCATTAAAAAATAAACAAATAAAACCCTAGGACACCTAAAAACATAAGGTAAGCCAGGTGCAGTGGTGCAAACCTGGAGTCCTAGCTACTCTGGAGGCCAAGGCAGGAGGATCTCTGGAGCCCAAGAGTTTGAGGCCAGCCATGACAACAGAGAGAGACCACTTCAAACAAAAAAGTGAGCAACAGATGGTGAAAAAGGATGTGTAAATAGGGTATATGAGTTCCTTTTATTGTTGAAAATGCTTGAAGTAATTGAATAAAGAAAACTGATCAAGATATAAAAAGGACATAAGAAATTCACAAGGTAAAAACATAATTAGTAAACAAATATATAGCCCCTTGCTGTTGCTTCTGGTGTGTGTGATGACACTGCTGCTCCCACCCAAACAGCTTCTTAGAATATTTATGCCAATTTACATACAGCCTGCTCAACAAGTAATAAGACCATTAGGGAGGGAAAAAAAAAAAACGACCTCTGCTATTATAATCAGGAAAATGACATCCCTTTCTTTAATTTGCAATGATTTCAGTAATGAGACTAATTATATGTATAGTTAATTAATCATTTTTACTCTCCCAGTGGACAATCCTGCTGGTGTCTCTATTTTTCTTCCTTCTTTATTTATTTATTTATTTAGTTAGTTAGTTAGTTAGTTAGTTACCAGGGATTGAACCCAGGGACGCTTAACCACTGAGCCACATCCCCAGCCCTTTTTTATATTTCATAGAGACAGGGTCTCACTGAGTTGCTTAGGGTCTCGCTAAGTTTCTGAGGCTGGCTTTGAATTTGCAATCTACTGCTTCAGCCTCCCAAGCCGCTAGCATAGTTCCAAGGACAGGAATGACCTGCAGGGTAAGCCACACAGCTTACGGGGAGAAAGGCGAAAGGCGTTTTGCCAAGTCACACCCCATTAACCTGTTTACTGCAAGCACCAAACAAGACTCCTCCCGCTGAGCCCTTATCCCTGCCTTTGATGTGCTCCCCTTAAATTGGGGAATGGGGTCCTGTTTGGGTTGGTTAGTTCCAGCTCCTATCAGGACTGGGAGGCCCGCCAGGCGCTGCTCTTTTTATATCTGATCTCTGGCTCTGTCTGTATTTCTTACTGATTGTTTCAGACTTTTTATTTTCCCAGCTGGCTCACACCTCCTGGGCAGGAACTTGCCTTATTGGGGTGCTGGTCACCTGGACAGGAACTTTCATTGGAAAAAAGCAATCTGGCAAATTCAAGGAAAATTGAGGGCAGCCAGTTCCCTATCAACAAGAGAAACAGAAAAGGAGCTCGTGAGAGAAAGCCAGGGACCCTGATTGGACGGGGATAAAAACTGCAGAATGACACCTGCTGGCCTCACACACCACTGAAGAGTCACAAAGTGGGCCCCGTGTCCAGATTGGGGAGAGAAAGAGTAGTA